ATGCATCACAGCTTTAATTTTATTTTTTAAAAACTATTGCTCTTCCATGATTATTACTGGCCAAATCACCACTTCTAACACATTTTTCTTCACCCTTTGTTTACTCTAAAATGTGGTGCATTCCCCCTAGAGTTTTCTTAATGCAGAGTCACGCATACATGTTAGAGTTCAAATAAATAAATCCTTGCCTATTCACTGTTTGTACCACACAGCTCCCGCTGACCAGCTGGCGCACATGTAGCCTCTAAGGGTGCTGGGGCTTGATTTATTTCACAGATTCTTAGTTCATACATATGATGCCACTGCTGTATATTATAGGGGCAGGACCGTCTCTTCTATAAATCACGCAATCAGTGGGAAAGTCTGATTGCCCGTTAGTGAGTGTGTGCTCTATGCTCATTAATCTACACACAGCGCTGCAGTCAACAAAGTCCTGGCATCAGGCCAACCCCCCAGCACTGGGGCACTTCTGACTGCAAGTCAGGTCCCCAAGTTGGACAAAAGTGGAAGGTGGCTGGCAGAGCAGCGCACACGGCCCTGGGAGGATGCAAAGGACAGCAGGATTTAGACTCAAGGAAGACTCAGTAGAATATCTCCAAGTAGACAATGGACAACGACAACTGAGAGGCAGCAGCAAAGGCCTGATCTGTCTGGCATAGAGGAATCCGAGATAGAGTGGAAGGGACATTATGAAAGGGGGTCAGAGGGGTAAGAGGCAAAACAGCTCCAGGCCCACAGAGCATAAGGCGCTGGGAGACAGAAACTAGTTGATTAAGGATATGTACTCTGTGCAAATCAGACTTAGACGTGTGTGTGTGTGTGTGTGTGTGTGTGTGTGTGTGTGTGTACATATGCACCTACCAGAAAAGAGGCCAGCATCCTTCCACATTTACCCCATTTATCAGTGATGTCATTATTTTTAAAGTCCTCCATAAATATTAGGATTACATTTTTAAATTTTTTATGAAAATAACATATGGCCTTTGCAAAAAAGAATCATACACACACACACACACACACACACACTCACACATACACACACAGTTGTCTTCAAGTGTTTAGAGAATAACATCAACTATAATGTCCATTTATCACCCACTCCCCAACCCTATTCCTGATGATGCAGCCACCATAAAAAGCTTCCATTAAGTTATCCCTTATCTTTTTTTGACTTGTCCCTCAAATTTCCCCTTTGTTCTCTTTCATCAAGAAATGGGCATATTTCGAACTCACAGCAGCATAAGTGAGGTGGCAGCTTTCTAGCCTCCTTCCCTGCACTCACCCATCCCCCAGCCAGTACCAGACAATTGTTCCTAGAGCACCATTTCCTCAGGAGAGCCCCACTTCACATGGGGGCCAAAACTCCATGGTCCATCCTCAGCCCTCCTTATCTAACCGTATCCCCTACCCCACATTGGTCTTACTCATTCTTCCCTTGGGTCTCTACCAGGCTGTTTCTCTGCCTGGTGCACTGTCACTGCCCATGCCAGCCCCCCTTCCTCTCTGCCTTCTTTGCCCATTTCTTCTTATCCCTCAATGCTCATCTCACACTCTACTTCCTCTCCTTTCCAAAATTGTGTAGTCACATGGTTTAGCATTTATTGTTTTCTGATTATTTCAGGCATGTTAATCTCCCTCAATAAAATGATACCTCTTGAGGTTAAGAAACTTGCCTTGACTCCATAGAATCTGACACAGTAGGCAGCTTGGGGAGACTCAGTATTCAATAAATGCATAGAAAATGACCGGACAATAGACAAAGTTCATTTTTCATTTAAATATTTATCTCCACACTATTTTGTATATAGGGCTGGCTTCCCCTCTTTTTTTTGTTTGTTTGTTTGTTTTGGTTTATGACCCTATAATTATTCCCTTTATGTGTTCATTAAAATAAAGGTGGAATTACCTTCTGAGCAACCTAATAGGCCTGGTAAATTAACTGAATCTTTTCTTTCAAGGATAAAAATTCTTTTGTGTGTGTCTTAGAAAATTGGAGAGATATTCTTACTCTCAAAAGTCAGATAGTTAAACCCTACCTAAGGCTTGAGACCTCTTGGCTTTACCCTTAAACATTTAATCCACATGCCATTTTAACAAGTCCTGAAATGCTTTCTTTTCTTTCCCTTTTTAGTTTAGGACAAAAATTTTAAAGGAAAGGGTAAATCTACTGGTGTATGGCATATGGAGGTCAAGATCTTACATAGATTTTCAGCATTAGGCAGAACAAATGGGCTGCGAGATTACCAAGAAAACAAATTCAGAGCAGCAACCTTTGAAAACTGAGAACTGCCAAATTGCTGGCAAGATGAAAACAGGGTCGCATTTGAGAAATTATGCAGTGTTGTGCTTCTTGGAGAAATGCACAGCACGGAGGAGTATCTGTGTTCTCCTCTGAAACTCTATTTTTAATGTTCATCATGACACCAATGGAAGCAAATCTGACTCCATGTAGAACATGCAGTAATTGTGGTAGTGGTGGGGGGAGGGGAGCTGAATGGAAATAGAGGCTCCGGGGAACCAAGTTATTTTTGAAATATCAAACAGACACATTCAGCTTGGATGCTGAAGATCACTCCGCAGGGTGAGAAAAAGTCGAAAATTTACCCAGAAAAAGTCTGCAATCACAGCACACAGAGGGCTGGATTCTCAGCAGTGTGAAGGAAGGGGAGACTTGAGAGAAAATGTCTCTCTGCTTATCATAAAAACAGCAAAATTCCCAGCATATGCTGCTATTTTACTTTTTTTATTTTGACAGACCATTTGTGACTAGTTATGGGTGGGGTTGTTCTCGCATGTATGTTTCAGCCAAGAGTGATGAATGCTCAGACTATGTTTCCTGACCTTGCACACATTTACTTCTCGTTTTTTCTCCCTCTTATGCCTTCTCTTACTGTTTTCTATCAGATGAGGTTCCCAGGAAGCTCTGTATGGGATCACATCTGAGATGTAGAGTAATTATATTTAGATATAAAATTGACCCATGTCTGAAGTGTGTTTCCTTATTTTCTTTATTTGTTTTTACATACACAAGAGAGCAAGCCAATGAGAATTTAAGTACCATAAGATCAATAAAGAAGCAAACTCATACTAATAAAAATGCAACTTCTATATCCATACTTTTTCTAGACATTAAACAAATTACAATTATAGGCGTTTTTGTTTTGTTTTTCCATAGTTCAGTCAGTGAATCAGATCTTTGGGTCTATTTTATTTTCAGATTCATTTTTTCACTCACATATTATAAAGCTTATACATTTCTTATTTTTAATATCGATTTGATGTTCTGTGTTTTTAACACAACACAGCTTGTTTAGCTGTTTCCCTTTCATAGTGCATCTGAATTAGTATCAAATTTTTTCTATTATATACACCAATGATGCAAACATCTGTGTAAGATATCACTTATTTTTTTATTTTTTTTCAGTCATTTTTAAGGCATTTTTCCAAAACTGGAATTCCTAAATGAAAAGCAAACAAACTATGGTTCATAAGCTCCTATAAGCTGCTTTCAAATTATCTTACGGAACGAACACATCAGTCAATATGCTGTGCCAACAGCCATCGGAAGTGGTTGTGCTGTCTCATACCCCTTCTAAAATGGCGCTTACTCACATTTACTCATTTTGCTACCTTGAGAAATTTATTGGGTGACTTTTCATTTGTTTTTCTCTAATTTCAAAAAAGGCTGCAATTTTTAATGTAGTTATTATAGGATTTATTTCTTCATATACTCTCTGTTTATCTCTTTTAAACATTTACTAACCATGAGTTGTTGATTTTTGCTTAATCCCTTCACCCTTCTCATCCAGCCCCCCAACACCTGTCCCCTCTGACAGCTGTCAGTCTGTTCTCTGTATCTGTGAGTCCGTCTCTATTTTGTTTGTTAGTTTATTTTGTTCAGTAGATTCCACATATAAAATTATATGGTGTTTGTCTTTCTCTGACTAGCTTATTTCACTTAGCATAATACTCTCCAGGTCCATCCAGGCCATTGCAAAAGTTAAGAGTTCCTTTTTTTATGGGCAACTAGTATTCCACTGTGTAAATGTGCCACAGATTTTTTATCCACTCATCTACTGATGGGCACTTGAAGGATAAGTGGTGATAGAAGGAAACTTGACTTTGGATGGTGAACACACAATACAATATACACATCACGTATTATAGAATTGTACACCTGACATCTACATAATTTTATTAACCAATTGGTTATCCCAATAAACTCAATGAAAATTTAAAAAAAACATTTATTAACTTACGTGTTTATATGAAATTGTACATATTTTTGTAATAGAGACAGTAGAGGAGTTGGGAGCATGACTCCGGAGCCAAATTCCTGGATTTGAATTCACTCTCTGCAGTTTATTAGGTAGTGCACTTCAGCCAGTTATTCAGTCACTCTGTGCCTCAATGTTCTCATTTGTAGAGTGATGATACTAACAGTACTCATCTGAGCTATGAAAATTAAATGGGGTATTATATGCAAAGTGCTTAAAACAGTGTCTGGCACATAGTAAGTCTATGTAAAAGGTTGTTTACTCTTATAAATAAGTTTTTGATTATTTTGCAGCTTCCCATTCTGTTGTTTTCTTTTTGGTATTTATTCTAAGGTACTTAATTGAATAAATAAATACATCCAAGGATGCACTTTTATTGCTAGGAAATGTGTTATTTTACAACAGCTCTCTATTTGGATTTTGTTGGCTATATGATGCTAGAGTATGGCTTCAAGTGGAGGTAATGTTAAAAATATTTAACAATTGCTAGGAATCAATCAACCAGAACAAGACACCCACTAATCAGAACAGAGCCCAACAAATCAGAAGCTGGCTGGCATCAGCCAATAAGAGTATACTCACTACATGTCACCCCCATGCTCCAGTGGACTCTTCTCCGCAATGTTCACCAATTGTTCTATTAACATGGATTTAATAGCACATTTTTTTCAAAGCATATTACATCTAACCTGCAATGTAGTCATTTCTCTTTTTAACGGGGTATTTAAGTGGTTTAATTGTGTTCCAAACACCTGCCTTTTACCTTTTACTTCTAGTTACTTAAAACATCTAGCTATAGCTACTCTCATTAGTACCATAATGCCAGGAATAAGGAAAATCCAGCCTGCAATACAGACTTCAAGTGGAATATTTAATGTATGCAAGCTATTTAAGACACACGATATACATTCAGGAATTGTTGTCACAATGCTAAAACTTTCTGATAAAATGTGAGAAAGACACTAACAAAAAACCTTATTTTTCACACATTATGAAAAATATTGAGATGTTTGGAAGCCCCTGTCTGTTTGAAATGAGCTTTTTATTTGCCATTGTATATGCACAGCCAAAGCCTCTGGTTATCAAAAAGTGCATTGACAAGCAAATAGAATACACTCCACCAGTTGGTATTGACAGAATTCTGTCATTGCAAGTGCCTACTCCATTGATCTTGGATAATATTTTTCTCTGAGCAGTGAAGAAATAAGTAGAAGCTGTCTCTTTGGCTTATACATGGTTTGTACCTCCATTTCTTTTTCCACCTCTTACATAGTTCTCAAATTTCCATAACTGCTCCTCACTACTTGTGTGATGCTGGGCATGGTGCTCTGAAAAAGTTAAATGAAAAGAAAGCGACATTTACCAATCATATTAGCAAAGATTCCAGGACAACATATTTTGAGGTCAATAATGACTTTGTTCATCACATTTTCCCCCTTCCATGTCTTCCCTTTTGAATTTTAATTGATGTGTGTCATTGAGTGTAGATTGTCCTAAAACATTTGAATATATCTGTAGGTAATACCAAGTAGGCCACACTCTTGGAGGGGCATCCCCAGCCCTCTGAAAGGCAGACAAATAAAGTCAGCACATGATGGGTGAGGTCAAACACAGACAAAAGTCACCTTAAAAGGTATGGCCCAGGCTAAAAGCAGAAAGATCAGGCCTTGACAATAGCTAATCAATTAGGTTAACATCATCTAAGAAAGCATGTGTCAACACTGAAAATCAGGAAAATGAGTGTTAGGGGTAACATTTAAGAGTTCATGTTATCTAGGAGGAGGGGCCCATTCAGCAGATGGTGCAGGTGTATTTGATGCATCCCCACAGAGCAGAAGAGTATATTGGGATAAAAAGGGGGCATAAACCTGTGTTCAAATCCCAGTTCCACCACTTCCCTGTGAGTTCAGACAAGTTATTACCCCTCTGGGCTTGTTTTCTCATCTATAAAGTAGAGATGATGATACTAATAGTTACCTCATGGATAGTGAAATAAATGAATATATGAAAGCATTTAGAATGCTTCCTAACACATAAGGACTAGAGAAGTTGATCATGAGTAAAGCCTTTAGAATGTGTCATAGAAAGTATTCGTTGATATTAAGCTATTATTGTTTAATGCCATTAATCATACATTATCATTGTGCTTTGATGACATAGATTATCAAGTGCCTTCCCACATAGATCTACTTGGTGGGCCAGGATGAGCTGATCTAAGGCAATTGCCACTCTGTCTGATGAGGTGATTTGAGCTTTCATGAAAATTAATCTCTGATGCATATATGATTTGGCTACAATTTTGATTAGTAATACTCTCTCTGAGGAAATAACAAGATCTACTTTTTGGACCTGCAACCCTGAAAGCCAGTTAGATAGAGGTGAACCATTAAGGTTCTCTCCCTTTGCAGGCTTCTGGCTGAGTGACAAGAAGACTACAGCAAGTCACAATCACTTGTAATAAAACCTGTTGAGTTTGCACGAGAAAGTTCTAACAGAGACACAAGAAGGTTAGTTAATTGGTGAGCACATGCACCCCTCAGGCCAACACTTACAGACTATGAAAGTCTCAAGCCCCATAATAACTTTGAACCTGAGAATAAACATTCAGGATGATGTGCAGCCAAAGTGCTTTCCCATTAGCATCAGCTGGGACTCAAGGAGTTGCTTCTTCTAGCAAAGATGTGGCCTCCACAAAAATGTATAGTGCTATTTTTCTACTAATAGTATTTAAACACATTTTTTTGTTTGTTTTTGTATCATTTGTTACATCCACGGAGTGGCCATAATTTGACAAGCCTGGCGGTGTAAACATCCACCAAGCACCCTGTGGGTTGCAAGGAGTCCTACAAAAGGTCACCGAATCTGCTGGAGACCTGCTGGAACTGTGAGGCCAGCTTATACTGAAACTTTTGCTGGGGACCCCCACTGGGCAGATATGTTTTCCATGGTCTTATTAGTTTAAAATTTAATACTTTTTCAGCATGTATTGTTTTGACAACAAGCTCCCATTAGGAAAGTGCCTCTTGCTTTCAACTGTAAGACTTTTACAGAATGGGATTGTTTGCAACCAAATGCCACGATCATGATGCTGGAGCTGAGTGAGAGCTGCTGGCTGAGCTCCAGGGAAAGAGTTGAATGGCAACCTTGCTCCTCAGTCCCAGAGAACAGGCCCATTTACGAGTCATTAAAATCAATTATCATCAGCTCTAGGGGCTGAGGATGCCGTCATGACCCAGAGAGCCAGGGTGCTGTTCTCATCACATCCACAGTAAGACCTGGAAATCTTCCTAGTCCTTGAAGATAAACAATAGGTCCCCTACTGAACCTTTCTTCTCTCTCGCTAAACATTCACAGTTCATTCCTCATTCCTTTCAAGAGAGGCTTTGGGTTCCATCATCATCTCGATAAGATTCACCCAGAAGATGCTTTAAGAGGGCCAGGTCCTCTGTAGGTTTTAATACTAAAATATAACCTACCTATCCACCTCAAGTTTTAAGCTCTCTTGGGCCCAGCCAGGAACATAGAAGAGCTCCTCTGGATTCTTAGACCAAGACTAGAGCCCCAGACCCAGAATATATGGTATCTTGACCTCAGGATCCAAAGGAAGAGGCCTGATCACAGACACTTACCCATCCAAGCTGTCAGGTTACTACCTTTCTGTGTCAGCTGCAGGAGGTCTTCAGAAAGGAAACTTTGCGCTGTTTGACCAGCTTTGACAAAACAGTCAAAATTTGCCATGAATTTGTCACTCTTGGGACACTGCAAAGTCTTAAGAACACTTTTTGGAAAGCTGTCAAAATATAGAAGTTAAACTTAGAGAATAACACAAATAAGAAAGGAGTAACTCCTCGTTCCCCTCCAAGCCATATTTTGGCAAAATTCTATTTGTTCTCTTATGGGAAGAGAAGGCTGTCAGACTTAAGGGGCCAAGCAAAGAAGAAACAGGGCATATTAAGTGAAAGAATTATTATAATCGAAGCTGAGTGCAAAATTACATCCTTCATAATTTTACACGTAAGTGAAGTGCATTTCTGTCCATGCATGGGAAGACAGAACTTTTCTCATGTCTGACATATCAGATACCAATAACCTTTCCAGCAGTAACCGGAGTAGAAAGTTGGAATACCTGAAAGCTTTTTTATTGTAGCGAAACTGAGGATGTGAAAAATGCAGTGTCACTCCATTATGTTGGCATCTAGGTGTGAAGAAATTGATCAACACCCCTGGAAGTGTGACTGGAGACAACAAAGCATATAAATATGTTTTAGTTCTAAAAAAGTTGAATGTGTGTGCACATTATATGTATTTCAGAATTAAAATTTCATGATCTAAAATATTATCCTACAAAGTAAACATCAGCTAAATGAATCCAGGCACAACTTAATGAAAGTCACTATCTTATATGCATTTGTAGCATGAGCACAAAATGGGAGTCAGAAAAACATAAGACACTGATGCTTAAGCATTTTAAAATTTTCATTGATTTTGTAAGCATTTTAACACCTCTTTTATAAAAAGTCACTGGTCGATGCAGTCTAACTATAAAATCTTTCAGCTATCAGAACTGATTACTAGAATAGGAGACAGAACTCACAAATGAGCCAGTGGGAAGGGAGTACCAGAATCCTTAACTCAGCTCTGCTCTGCTGGGTACATGACCCTTTTATTAGGCACTAGAGCAGGGGTGGGCAAACTTTTTGACTCGAGGGCCACAATGGGTTCTTAAACTGGACCGGAGGGCCGGAATAAAAGCATGGATGGAGTGTTTGTGTGAACTAATATAAATTCAAAGTAAACATCATTACATAAAAGGGTACGGTCTTTTTTTTTTTAGTTTTATTCATTTCAAACGGGCCAGATCTGGCCCGCGGGCCGTAGTTTGCCCACGGCTGCACTAGAGGCTCGATGCACAAAATTCGTGCAAGGGCCTTGGCTCCTGCTGCTGCAGCGTCCACCTCTGCTGCAGCTTTGTCCAGGAGGAAGGATGTCCGGAAGGATGCCGGTATAATTAGCATATTATGCTTTTATTATTATAGATGATATAGCTGATGTTCTGATTGGTCCTGAATTATTTCTGTGTAAAAGTAAAGAGCATTTTCTTAGCCATCTCTATGCTCTCCCCGAGTTTGTCCTAGGACAAATGGCTTCTTGCAATTAAAGATGCAAAGATGGCTTGGTAATCAGAATGTAACAAGGATGTGCAGTTCTCTATGCCAGGCTAAACAGTCTTGAAGTCAGCGTTCCTCAAAGTGGGGTTCTACGCCACCAACTTTAGAATCCCCCGAAGGGTATCTTGTTTACAAATGGGATTCCTAAGTCTTATCCAAGACGTAGTGAACCAGACTCTCCCAGTCTGAGGACGGAAAGTAGGTCTTTGCAACAAGCCCTCCACGTGATGCTTCTACACACTAAATCCTACACCCTGTCTTAAGAAACAACCCTTAAAGAAATTGCACCCACACTTGGACTTCATTTGTCCTCTGTACAGGCATACCTCAGAGATATTGCAGGTTTGTTTTTAGACCACTTCAGTAAAGCAAGTATCACAATAAAGTGAGTCAGAATCTTTTTGCTGGTGGAGGAGGGTCTTGCCTTCAATTTGTAAAAAATGCAGTATCAGCGAAGCACAATAAAATGAGATGTGCCTGTAAATCAGTGGTTTGAAGCCCTGGCCATGCAATAGAATCACTTGGGAGGTTCAAAGACACACAACCATGACTGCATCCCATCCCCAGAATGTCTAATTTGGTTGATTTGAGGTGAGGCCCAGGCAGCAGTATGTTCCATATGTTGTTCTAATATATACCTAGGATTGAATGTTTATAGCAGTAGATTCACAAGAGTCAAATGTAGAAAACAACTCACATGTCTATCAGCAAATAAAGATATAAACTATACGTACAATGAAATACTATTCAGCCATAAAAAGGAAAGAAATTCCAGTACATGCTACAAGCTGGATGATCCTTGGAAGCATTATGCTAAGTAAAATAAGCCAGACACAAAATAAAAATATTGCATGATCCCACATATATGAGATATCTAGAATAGGCAAATGTATAGAGGCAGGAAGTAGAATAAATGTTACCGGGGGATGGGGGTGGGGGAGATGGAGAGTTAGTGCTTACTGGTTACAGAGTTTCTGCTTGAGGTGATAGAAAAGTTTTAGAAATTTATAGTCTTCTTAGCACATTTCTTCATGTAGACATAACCTCTGCAAAAAAAAAATGCGTGAGAAATTGTAAATGGAGAGAACATTTTGAGTGTATATTGCCAATTACATTTAGCAAATAATAATAAAGACATCTGGGAGTGCAGTATTAATAGTAAAGTACCCTTTGGAGCTCTGTAAATAGACATTATAAAAATCTTAGTAATCTAACAAATTCTGTATAAGATCTCAGCCTGATTTTGTTACTGGCAAAGAGATTAAAAATGAGCATCAAATTTGTTTCTCTCTTTTCAGTAATAGACATATAATGTCATCCTTGAGATAGTGAAATGAAGGAAGTCTTCAATTAAACCCTTGGTAACAACTGCAGAATATTCGTGCCACTTCAAATTCTTTTTTATAATTATAATTTTGATATTTTTCAAAGCCTATTGTTAGTGCTCGATCACATGTAATATCTAGAGTCGATCACATGCCAGGTACTTCAGTTGTGGGACTGCAGGTTTTCTGTTCCATATGATCACTAATAATGGTGATACTGTTATTTCTAGAGGACTTTCCTGTACGAGTAGTTGAGAGAATTGTCTTGTTGAGCTGCACCTGTGACAGAGATGCAGCGCCAATGCTGTGCGTAAGAGAAAGAAATCTTTCAAATGTATTCTAAAGAAAGACACTTTCTTCAAACCTTTACTTACCAATATCACACACTCTCTGGCAAAACAAAATGAGCTCTGCGTCTCCTGGCATAAATGAAAAGCTTATTTTTAAATGCCATATGTTGCTACGATGCATGCTGTGTTTTTAACGATTATCGCACATGCAAGCAAAATGCTGTATTAGTTTTATATTCGTGTAATTCCTGATTATCACAAATACACACAACAAAAGACAGTTACAATGTTAGGGATTGCCAGAGCTACAAAGAATCTCAAAAAGTTCTCTAATCTGGCATCTCATCTTTACAGACAATTAAATTAAGTCATCCAAGACAGACAGTAGCATTTCCTTTTCAATTTAATAAGTATTTATGGAGGTCCACAATGCAACCTATACTATAGAAGATAAATGTTAAAGAGCTTGATGTCATCCTATTCTTAAGGGATATACAATATTTTTTCAAAGAGATAGAAAATAAATAATAGTGTACTTATGTTGTGTATATCTTAGAATGGCATACTGTGAAAGTTCTCACATTTCAACATGCCTCAGAACCCCACATTGCTAAAACACAGGTAGCTGGGCCCCCACCTCCTATTTCTGATTCAGTAGGTCTAGAGTAGGACCCAAAATTTTGCATTTTCAATGAGTTCCCAAGTTTTGCTGATGCAGCTGGCTCCTGACCATGCTCTGGGAACCACTGCAGTAAAACAGAGGTGTTAAAGATGCAGGCCCTGGAGTTCAAGCGCACAGTTTGAATCCTGACTGCATCATCTAGAACAAGCTACTTATTTTCACTGCCTCAGTTTACTCACCTGTAAAATGGAAACAGTAACAGTACTTACCTCAAGTGTTATTATGGGGATTAAATGAGAGAATGCTTGTAAAGCAATGGAATAGAGCCTGGCACATAGCACACACAGAGTAAGTGTTCATTATTGATGCTATTTCATATTAGTTCCTAAATACCAATTCTCAGACCAGTACTGGTGTGTGAATATATATATATAAGTGATAGTATAAAGGTACAGAATGTCTTTTCTTAGGAATAATTTTCTTTTACCTTAAGATAACATTCTACCTAATTTTAATGTTGAAATATATTTATGTGTATGAAAATAATAGTAATAGGAATTGGCATTTATCTTGAATACTAAGACCTTGGTAATACCATAACATGCTCCCCATTGTAATGTGGGGTTGAAATTGAATAAACAAATAGAGAGGAGTTAGGATTGAGAGTTTACCAAGAGGATTGTGAGAGTGTCATCCAGATGATAATACTTGGAGGCCCACAAATCTAAGAAAGGGATGGGGAGTTCCTACCTCAATGACACTCATTTGTGGTAAGAGTAGCAGCTGTGGGAAGGGGGCAGGAGGTCAGTGTGCAAGAATGAGATGCACAAAATACAATGCTGGCTCCGTCTGACTCGGTCTATGCCACAGAACAGGAGCTGAGATGTGCCTGGGTGGCCTCACTGTGGCTTCACCAAATAGGTAGGTATACAGTGCAGCACATCATCCCTGTTGCCATAGCAACTTTAAGGCAAATCTACCTGGGGACTTCACCTGAGAAGTCAGGGCCTAGAGCCCTACTCTCACCACCTGATTTATGATTTTTTCTAATAAAGGGTTCAATGAGGCAGAACTAACTTGAAAATTCATTCTATTCTGCCAGAGTGGGAATGTAGGTGATCTCCTGGGCTTAGGGGATAGGCCTGGTGTGAAAGTCAAATGCTTCTGTCCTGGCTACCCTGGTCCGTGTTCAATTAGCAGGAAAAATACACTTAAGCCGTGTGAAGCTCTCAGAGATAAAGTACAGTATTTCTGCAGATACTTTGACCTAATTGTGTTAGCCCCAATTAACCACATTCTCATGTCATTCGATGAGAAAGAACAATTCTAAGCAAAGATTTTAAAGAAACATTTTGTTAAGGTCTACTCCAACCTCATTAGATAACGCTCAGGAATTGGAATCGGGGAGATGGTAGAATTCAGGAGAGGAGTAAGCGTTAGTGGTATGTTTGGGGCCCACTAATAAGAAATAACCCACTCAACATCACTACGCATCCCCGTTTGAGCATAAACATGGCTCCCCAAGTTAGCCATGGCTAAGGACCTGCTTCAAGGTAGACAGAACTCCGTAACTAAATGTCATGGAAAAGCACTGTGTTAGGGAATGGGAGAAAACATCGGCAAACCATATATCTGATAACGGGTTATTGTTTAAAATATATAGGGAACTCCTACAACTCAAAAGCAAAAAAAGGAAACAAACCCAAATAACCCAGTTAAAGAATGGGCAAAAGACCCAAATAGACACTTCTCCACCATAACAATGGCCAAAAGGTATATGAAAAGATGCTAATATCACTAATCATCAGAAATGAAACCCAAAGCTACATTACCTCATACCTGTCCATTGAGGAACCAACTGGGTGGGACACATTTCAAAACTGTCCCGTCAAAGAGCTGCTTTTAATCCACTGTGGCTGCGCCTGGCAGACCAGCTACTTAGGGAGCTAATTGGCTGAGGGCCCAGGGCCGGTGCAGAGAAATTCCTGGCCACATGTATGCCGAGACCACTCCTCCTACGGGCTGCTCCCTCTAATAACCTGGTGTGGCGGGGATAGGAGGCGGACCTGTTCCTGAGCCACGTGGACTCCTTTCTGGGAGACTTCAGCGTGAGGACTTCCTGACGGTGCTCCCACCATGTAGGATGCACCCACCAAATTCCTGGTCAGGGATTTCCTCAGGTCAGACTTGCATCGGGGTCTCACCGTTCTCCCAGCTTTCCTGGCCCTCCCTCCGATGTCCTTTCACAGGTCATTTCCCTTTTCAATCCCCCCTTAGCATCTGCTTCTCTGATGAACCAAGGAAACTCCTCCCCCACAGCCCACCACTCCTTGGATAAGGGTAGCACATGGGGGCTTTAACTGCCCAGCATTTTCAATGAGGCCCAGGCACTGGCTCCGTGTCTGAGGAGCTGCAGACCCCCGCAGGCCAGGAGATGCAGGAAATCTCCCAGGAGGGGACTGTCAGTGGCCCCTGGGTGAGCATATGGGCAAGGCGTTCACAGTGACCGTGTTTGCTCCAAGCGTTATGGTTTGGTTATCTGCGCAAGAGTGCACATAGGCTGTTGTGCTCTGTGAATGTGACCAGGGGAAAGGAGGGCTTTAGGCAAGGATATTCCCAGGCATCTGTTGGGAAACATAAATATACTCCACGATTAGGGTGACTTCGCTTTTACCTTTTCCACTGTATCTGGAGGTTTATTTCATTTTCGTCCTGCTCCTTTTCTCAGGACTTCCCAATTTGACTGGTGGTTATTGATGAAAATGGGAAATGCTTCATGTTCACCACATTTACATCTTCTGGTAACAAAAAAGATGTAAGAAGACTTCAAAGAGGAGCTCTTAGCAATGAGTCTAATAGGAGGCATTCAATAGTGTTAGTTTTCTTCCTATTCAGCCCCCTGGGGACAAAGGACCATATGCATAATAGGTAAGGTACTGAGAGTCATATTCCTTGTGTGGTCATAACCAGGATCCAAATGATGTAATTATATGAAAGCACTGCTGTAAACGTAAAGGGCAAATAGATGTTAATTTGAGATCTTTGCAACTCATTATTGCACTGGTTCAGCTGGACCATGGGTCAAGGCAAATTCTCAGAAGCAGGACACCTGCAAAGAGGAAAATTTTCCTAGAACATGGTTAGTATATAACATAACATAATATTTTCTTTGAAGTGTGTGTTTCACTCTATTACCTTACTTTAAACACAACCTAAAACTCCTTTATGATATTCCGACAATAAAAGCAATTTTTAGCTATCGAGAAAACATTCCATTCCATATGTCAGACAACGTACCATTGGTTGTAATTCCAGCATCCCTGAATGTTCTACATTTATTTGTAATTTAATAGAATCAATCTTCTGCCTTTGGGATATTATAGTGCAATTTCATGTGTACCATTAAAAATATAGTTGATATATTCTACAGCCTGACTAGCTGCAAATGTAGAGAAATTATTGATGCTGCATGATCAAATGAAGAAACATGAAACCTTAAGAAAAATGAAAAATCTAATTTAAAAGAATGGAAAAGGCAGAGATAAAATCAGGACAGTGACTGATCCAGCACCATGCACTAATATATCTTTTTTACTTTTTCTTCTTAAACTGAACAAAAGAGGTAGGTCAGAATTTGCATTGGTGGGAATCACTCAGATCAAGAGATAGGAAGAAGGAGATACATATATTATCTGGTCAATTTTACCAGCTACAGTTCAATTCCTCAATGGTTCATCTGTCTTTTCTGAGCCATATTTGAACAAAGGTGACCCTCAGAACTCGTTACAAGATCTTGTTATTTGAAAAACATTTTATTTTTATATTTTCTTGAGACAACCTCAAAGATTAATGTCTAAAATAAACACAGCTGTTGAAAAATTTTAAAGATACAATCAGAAAAGTAATTCAACATGTCCCCAATGCTTTTAACTCCAGTGATGAAATTCTAATCTGTAACAAACTTAGAAAAAAGCAGCAACAGTACTCTTATGTTTTCATTCCTCCTTCTGTATGTCTTTCAGCTAACAACTTTAGCTTAAATTTCGCCCAAGGCAGATTAAATTAAACTTCACTAGAATTCTGTAGGCATTCTCCTTCTCCCCTAACCATTCTAAGGAATATAGTTGGCACAAATTAAACTATTAAAGATGTCTCAGAGTACATAACCCAGGGACACAGACAATAGTGTGGTGAAAGTCTGGGAGGGGTGGGTGTGGGGTGGATGGGGTCAATGGGGAAAAAACAACCAAGAGAACATCTGTAATACATTCAACAATAAAGATACATTTTTTTAAGTGTGTCTCAGATTTATCAGAACAATGCAATGCTGTTTAAGCAAGAACAAAAACGGGGCTTGGGAATGCTTAAGTCAGAGTCAGTTCTATTCGAGGCTCTACTATTCATTTTTTTTAAAAAATCATTTGACCTTTGACCTTTCTTAGCTTCAACTGAGAAATGAGAGGGTTTAACTATCCCTGAATTCTAAAATACCATGCTCATATACCTTTAGTTTGTCTTATAATTGCTAATTGTCTGTGTCATCACTAGACTCTTCTGTTCTTACATTTACTGGTAGCCCAATACACAGCTCATAGTAGGTACTCAATTAATGTTTGTTGAATAATTACATGCAAGTAAATATAAGTCTCTCTCATTTTCTCTCCCCTCAAAGATATGTTCAGTGAGAATATATGTTCGCTAACTAAATATGATAACTTGTCTAACTGATTGTCATGAATGCCTGGAATGCCTGAGACCTCAGGAAACATAAGGATAATCCTATATAATAAAAGCCTAATATGCAAATCGACCAAACAGTGGAATGACCAGTCGCTATGATGTACACTGACCACCAGAGGGTAGCTCCTGCATTGAGCTGCCCCCAGGTGGTCAGTGTGCTCCCAAAGAGGGAGCGCCGCTCAGCCAGAAGCTGGGCTTATGGCTGGCAAGCACAGCAGTGTGACAAGAGCCTCTCACGCCTCTGCTGCAGGCGGGTAGTAAGGAGTGAGGAGTCCTGGACTGTGAGAGCCCCAGACTGCAAGAGGGATGTCTGACTGCTGGCTTAGGCCCAATCCCCAATACACAACTCATAGTAGGTACTCAATATTTATTGAATAATTACATGTAAGTAAATATAAGTCTCTTTCATTTTCTCTCCCCCCAAAGGGCGATTGGGTCTAAACTGGCAGTTGGACATCCCCTGAGAGGTCCCCGAGAGGGTACAGGCTGGGTTGAGGGCTCCCCTCCCCCAGTGCACAAATCTCATGCACCGGGCTTCTAGTATGAAATAAAAGGCATGTCTGGGTGTCTGGGTATCTCCTTACATGGACAACAAATTTAAGGGATAAATCCTTAAATAACATGGGAATTGCATGCTTTTGTTTCTTACTAAGTGTAAATCCACAACTCTTTTAGAATTTGAAGACCGAAATCACTCCGTTGAATTTATCAAATATTTAGAAGAGTACCATGCTCCCTAGGAAAAGACTGTTCAGTGCTATGTCTTGCATATATAATTTGACATCTTGTTGCAACATCAGAGTGTTGTGCTAAGCCACCACATGCTCTTTTGGAATAATAAATGATGATAGGATTGAGCACCTCAGACAAATTTTCAAGTTTTATAAATATTTATGAAAATGAAGTCCACAAAAGTTTATATCCTAAACTGGGAAAGAAATGCTGGCCCTATGCTAAATTAAAATATTTGGCCATATTTGGGAGGCACTAGTATATGTATAATTTTTGTCTTTGAAAAATGAATGAGGTAGCTTCACATAAGATATTACAAGGTGATAAAAATACTATTGGAATTATTCCACCTAAGTCTAGGGGAGTAAAACTATTCTGTATGATACTGTCATGGTAGATACGTGACATTTTGCATTTGGCTAAACCCTTAGGTTGAACCCTAATGTAAACACAAAAGGTGAACCCTGATGTAAACTATGGACTTTAGTTCATGATAATCAATAATGGCTCATCAATTGTAACAAATGTACTACATTAACATAATCTAATAACATAATAAAAGGCTAAGTGACCGACCGTCCATCCATCCTTCTGACCATCCAACCAGCCCACTGGCTGGTACATGTGACGGGCACTGGCAATTTAAAAATAAATGTTGACTCGCTGGCATTAATTGCGCGCCTGTGTTCTTGAAGCTGAAGTATTAACATGATCTGCAAAAGGAGAGGTTGTTCTGATTCCAAGAATTGACTTGTCCCCATCTGACACTGGCTTCCCATTTAAATTAATTTGAAGACAGTTTCCCATGATGCCAGCATTTGTGATGACTATTAATAAATCACAAGGACAAACTCTAGACAGAGTAGCAATATTCCTACCTAAACCCGTTTTCGGACATGGTCAGTTATATGTTGCTTTATCTCGAGTTCGAAGAGAGTGTGACGTTAAAGTTAAAGTTGTAAATACTTCATTATAAGGGAAATTAGTTAAGCACTCTGAAAGTGTTTTTATTCTTAGTGTGGTATACAGGGAGATATTAGAATAAGTTTAATCAATTTATCAGTCATTGTTTTTATCAATGTTTTTATATCATGCCTTTGTTGTTGTTATATCATGTTGTTATTGTTTATTTATTAATCAATTTATATATTATTTTCATATATATTTTACTAATTTTCTTTCATCTCTGACACTTATATTATAGAGAAAGGGTAAATAGCGATATTAAAATATTTCTTCTAATTAATTTATTTTCAATGTGCACGAATCTATGCACTGGGCCACTAGTATGTTAATAATAATGGAAACTGAGTGATGGATAGAGGGATTAGGTGGGAACTTTCTCTGTACTATCTACTCAGTTTTCTGTATACCTAAAACTGCTCTACAAAGAAAACCTATTAATTAAAAACGCACACACAACAACTATTGAAGCTATTCCACCTAAAGCCATTCACTCAGCAAATTTCTATATCAACAATGAGCAAAATGGTTCATTTATATCATGAATGGTGATTATGTCCAAAGATAATGATGATTGTAGATGAAGTATTTTGACATGACAAGTTCTTTACTGGCTCCAAACCCTGGATATAGAATACGAAGAGTCTTTATAAAGACCTACATTAATCTTTAAAGAGCAGCCTTCTCATTTGGTACCTTACACTTAGCTCTGTCAAATTCTGCATAGCTAAAGAATAGATTCAGAAGAAGATGTCCACTGTTCCGATAATGTAAAACAAACAGAACAGGTATCATAATAATACAGCAAAATGTCAGAGCACAAAAGAGCTAGAAGGAACCAAGGATACGACCCAGGTTAGCCCCCTCTTCTTAGGTAAGAAAAAAACGAGATACAAATATAAGTCCCTGTGACATGAAAGGCCTATGGAAAAGAATTATTCTGGTCAAATTATAGGAATACATGAGCTATTTCCCGAGCAACAGATTAATATTTAACCTGTGATCACTGTGAAGTTTATAGGCAATTGCATTTCCATTTTCATTTGGCTTCAAGAAAGTTCAGCACCAGATTTGTGGCCCGTTTCCAGCAGGTTTATAGGTTAAATCTTACTCCTGCCTAATCTTGCTTTCTGACTCATCTATGAAATTTTTTGACTTATTGCTCTCTTGCTGTATTGAATGTGAGACAGATGACCTTAAACAGTCCCTCTCCTGGCTCACTCTCTAATTCCCTTCCCTTCAGTTGGGGAGAAATATGTGGATTAGAAGAAAACATTTCAAAAATGCTGATCCAAGGGCGATTGTTTTAGAATGGTGCCATGCATCTTACATGACCCAGAGGGAGGTCTACCTGGCCCCGCCA